GTTCTAGTTCTGTTCTAGTTCTGTTCTAGTTCTGTTCTAGTTCTTCTAGTTCTGTTCTAGTTCTGTTCTAGTTCTGTTATAGTTCTGTTCTAGTTCTGTTCTAGTTCTGTTCTAGTTCTGTTCTAGTTCTGTTCTAGTTCTGTTCTAGTTCTGTTCTAGTTCTATTCTAGTTCTGTTCTAGTTCTGTTCTAGTTCTGTTCTAGTTCTGTTCTAGTTCTGTTCTAGTTCTGTTCTAGTTCTGTTCTAGTTCTGTTCTAGTTCTGTTCTAGTTCTGTCTAGTCTTTTCTAGTTCTTTTATAGTTCTTTCTAGTTCTGTTCTAGTTATGTTCTAGTTCTTTTCTAGTTTTGTTCTAGTTCTGTTCTAGTTCTGTTCTAGTTCTGTTCTAGTTCTGTTCTAGTTCTGTTCTAGTTCTGTTCTAGTTCTGTTCTAGTTCTGTTTCTAGTTCTGTTCTAGTTCTGTTCTAGTTCTGTTCTAGTTCTGTTCTAGTTCTGTTTCTAGTTCTTTTCTAGTTCTTTCTAGTTCTTCTAGTTCTGTTCTAGTTCTGTTCTAGTTCTGTTCTAGTTCTGTTCTAGTTCTGTTCTAGTTCTGTTCTAGTTCTGTTCTAGTTCTGTTCTAGTTCTGTTCTAGTTCTGTTCTAGTTCTGTTCTAGTTCTGTTCTAGTTCTGTTCTAGTTCTGTTCTAGTTCTGTTCTAGTTCTGTTCTAGTTCTGTTCTAGTTCTGTTCTAGTTCTGTTCTAGTTCTTTCTAGTTCTGTTCTAGTTCTGTTCTAGTTCTGTTCTAGTTCTGTTCTAGTCTGTTCTAGTTCTGTTCTAGTTCTGTTCTAGTTCTGTTCTAGTTCTGTTCTAGTTCTGTTCTAGTTCTGTTCTAGTTCTGTTCTAGTTCTGTTCTAGTTCTGTTCTAGTTCTGTTCTAGTTCTGTTCTAGTTCTGTTCTAGTTCTGTTCTAGTTCTGTTCTGTTCTGTTCTGTTCTAGTTCTGTTCTAGTTCTGTTCTAGTTCTGTTCTAGTTCTGTTCTAGTTCTGTTCTAGTTCTGTTCTAGTTCTGTTCTAGTTCTGTTCTAGTTCTGTTCTAGTTCTGTTCTAGTTCTGTTCTAGTTCTGTTCTAGTTCTGTTCTAGTTCTGTTCTAGTTCTGTTCTAGTTCTGTTCTAGTTCTGTTCTAGTTCTGTTCTAGTTCTGTTCTAGTTCTGTTCTAGTTTCTGTTCTAGTTCTGTTCTAGTTCTGTTCTAGTTCTGTTCTAGTTCTGTTCTAGTTCTGTTCTAGTCTGTTCTAGTTCTGTTCTAGTTCTGTTCTAGTTCTGTTCTAGTTCTGTTCTAGTTCTGTTCTAGTTCTGTTCTAGTTCTGTTCTAGTTCTGTTCTAGTTCTGTTCTAGTTCTGTTCTAGTTCTGTTCTAGTTCTGTTCTAGTTCTGTTCTAGTTCTGTTCTAGTTCTGTTCTAGTTCTGTTCTAGTTCTGTTCTAGTTCTGTTCTAGTTCTGTTCTAGTTCTGTTCTAGTTCTGTTCTAGTTCTGTTCTAGTTCTGTTCTAGTTCTGTTCTAGTTCTGTTCTAGTTCTTTTGTTCTAGTTCTGTTCTAGTTCTGTTCTAGTTCTGTTCTAGTTCTGTTCTAGTTCTGTTCTAGTTCTGTTCTAGTTTGTTCTAGTTCTGTTCTAGTTCTGTTCTAGTTCTGTTCTAGTTCTGTTCTAGTTCTGTTCTAGTTCTGTTCTAGTTCTGTTCTAGTTCTGTTCTAGTTCTGTTCTAGTTCTGTTCTAGTTCTGTTCTAGTTCTGTTCTAGTTCTGTTCTAGTTCTGTTCTAGTTCTGTTCTAGTTCTGTTCTAGTTCTGTTCTAGTTCTGTTCTAGTTCTGTTCTAGTTCTGTTCTAGTTCTGTTCTAGTTCTGTTCTAGTTCTGTTCTAGTTCTGTTCTAGTTCTGTTCTAGTTCTGTTCTAGTTCTGTTCTAGTTCTGTTCTAGTTCTGTTCTAGTTCTGTTCTAGTTCTGTTCTAGTTCTGTTCTAGTTCTGTTCTAGTTCTGTTCTAGTTCTGTTCTAGTTCTGTTCTAGTTCTGTTCTAGTTCTGTTCTAGTTCTGTTCTAGTTCTGTTCTAGTTCTGTTCTAGTTCTGTTCTAGTTCTGTTCTAGTTCTGTTCTAGTTCTGTTCTAGTTCTGTTCTAGTTCTGTTCTAGTTCTGTTCTAGTTCTGTTCTAGTTTGTTTCTAGTTCTGTTCTAGTTCTGTTCTAGTTCTGTTCTAGTTCTGTTTCTAGTTCTGTTCTAGTTCTGTTCTAGTTCTGTTCTAGTTCTGTTCTAGTTCTGTTCTAGTTCTGTTCTAGTTCTGTTCTAGTTCTGTTCTAGTTCTGTTCTAGTTCTGTTCTAGTTCTGTTCTAGTTCTGTTCTAGTTCTGTTCTAGTTCTGTTCTAGTTTTTCTGTTCTAGTTCTGTTCTAGTTCTGTTCTAGTTCTGTTCTAGTTCTGTTCTAGTTCTGTTCTAGTTCTGTTCTAGTTCTGTTCTAGTTCTGTTCTAGTTCTGTTCTAGTTCTGTTCTAGTTCTGTTCTAGTTCTGTTCAGTTCTGTTCTAGTTCTGTTCTAGTTCTGTTCTAGTTCTGTTCTAGTTCTGTTCTAGTTCTGTTCTAGTTCTGTTCTAGTTCTGTTCTAGTTCTGTTCTAGTTCTGTTCTAGTTCTGTTCTAGTTCTGTTCTAGTTCTGTTCTAGTTCTGTTCTAGTTCTGTTCTAGTTCTTCTGTCTAGTTTGTTCTAGTTCTGTTCTAGTTCTGTTCTAGTTCTGTTCTAGTTCTGCTAGTTCTGTTCTAGTTCTGTTCTAGTTCTGTTCTAGTTTGTTCTAGTTTTGTTCTAGTTCTGTTCTAGTTCTGTTCTAGTTCTGTTCTAGTTCTGTTCTAGTTCTGTCTAGTTCTGTTCTAGTTCTGTTCTAGTTCTGTTCTAGTTCTGTTCTAGTTCTGTTCTAGTTCTGTTCTAGTTCTGTTCTAGTTCTGTTCTAGTTCTGTTCTAGTTCTGTTCTAGTTCTGTTCTAGTTCTGTCTAGTTCTGTTCTAGTTCTGTTCTAGTTCGTTCTAGTTCTGTTCTAGTTCTGTTCTAGTTCTGTTCTAGTTCTGTTCTGTTCTGTTCTGTTCTGTTCTAGTTCTGTTCTAGTTCTGTTCTAAGTTCTGTTTAGTTCTGTTCTAGTTCTGTTCTAGTTCTGTTCTAGTTCTGTTCTAGTTCTGTTCTAGTTCTGTTCTAGTTCTGTTCTAGTTCTGTTCTAGTTCTGTTCTAGTTCTGTTCTAGTTCTGTTCTAGTTCTGTTCTAGTTCTGTTCTAGTTCTGTTCTAGTTCTGTTCTAGTTCTGTTCTAGTTCTGTTCTAGTTCTGTTCTAGTTCTGTTCTAGTTCTGTTCTAGTTCTGTTCTAGTTCTGTTCTAGTTCTGTTCTAGTTCTGTTCTAGTTCTGTTCTAGTTCTGTTCTAGTTCTGTTCTAGTTCTGTTCTAGTTCTGTTCTAGTTCTGTTCTAGTTCTGTTCTAGTTCTGTTCTAGTTCTGTTCTAGTTCTGTTCTAGTTCTGTTCTAGTTCTGTTCTAGTTCTGTTCTAGTTCTGTTCTAGTTCTGTTCTAGTTCTGTTCTAGTTTTGTTCTAGTTCTGTTCTAGTTCTGTTCTATTTCTGTTCTAGTTCTGTTCTAGTTCTGTTCTAGTTTTGTTCTAGTTTTGTTCTAGTTCTGTTCTAGTTCTGTTCTAGTTCTGTTCTAGTTCTGTTCTAGTTCTGTTCTAGTTCTGTTCTAGTTCTGTTCTAGTTCTGTTCTAGTTCTGTTCTAGTTCTGTTCTAGTTCTGTTCTAGTTCTGTTCTAGTTCTGTTCTAGTTCTGTTCTAGTTCTGTTCTAGTTCTGTTCTAGTTCTGTTCTAGTTTTGTTCTAGTTCTGTTCTAGTTCTGTTCTATTTCTGTTCTAGTTCTGTTCTAGTTCTGTTCTAGTTTTGTTCTAGTTCTGTTCTAGTTCTGTTCTAGTTCTGTTCTAGTTCTGTTCTAGTTCTGTTCTAGTTCTGTTCTAGTTCTGTTCTAGTTCTGTTCTAGTTCTGATCTAGTTCTGTTCTAGTTCTGTTCTAGTTCTGTTCTAGTTTTGTTCTAGAAATTTTTAAATTCTGTTTGAAGAAATTTTCAAATTCCCATTTTAATTTTCAAAATTCCTCATTGGGTTATCTTGTTAATAAAGTTTAGGAATTAATATCTAATGACGACTGATAATAAATAGTAGTATAAAATCTTTAAATATTTCGAAAACACCAATAAAATTCTTCATAAAAGCCAATGTAATCAGTACCCCGCAAGTTTCCCCTTTTTCCAAAAAAAATATGTAAAATTTTTGAGAAATGTTTTTATTATTTGTGAAGTGTTCTTTCTAATACCATTTCTTGTTGATCATGTTAACCCAATAGAGTTAAAGGAGACTTATCAGCACTTATGACATCCAAAACCGCACCCACAGTACCCTGCAGTTGAGAAACATCTACGCCCACATTCTCCTTGTTGCCTTTGCCCTTTTGTGAAGTATTGGCCTCGGCTAAAGAAATTTAAAAAATTTTCTTTAAATATGATAAATTGTAAATGTATTTCACCCACCTAATTGCAAAGTTTTCACCAATTCCACCGGCTTGGTCCAAGTGTAAGTAAAAAGTATTACAAAAATCATTAAAACTAAGACCAAACGCATTTTTCTGTTTAAATTTCAATAATTTTTTTTGCAAACTTATTCTTCAATTTCAAAAACTAACCGCTTTTTAAATGCTTACTACAGTTTTTATACCAAAATCAAATTGATTTTTTACAATTAGAAATTGTTTTTTATTGGCACGTTTTATTTTTACAATAAAATTTTTGATTTTATATATGTGTTAGTGTGTTTGCTGCAGTAGGTATACAAATTTGATTGTTTATTAAACAAATTATTTTGTAAACTATAGAATTTATTTGCTACGTGCTTTAGTACTAAAATTGAGAACATTTGTTTTAATGATTTTTTCATATAAAAACAGCAGCAGGCGAATTTTACGAGACATCGTTTAGAAAAGTCTTAGTCTCTGGAGGGTTTTAAATAAGAAAGTAATAGAGAAAAGACAACAAACAAACAAAATGCGTTTTATTGCGGTAATTTTATTGCTGCTGTGTGTGGGTCTAACGCTGGTCCGTAGCAGACCCAATGTGGATAAAATTTTGAATACCCAAATTGGTAAGTAAACTTAAACCTTTTAAGTCCAAAAATCTGCTTCAAACTCATTTTCTTCCAGCTAAAGCTAATCTTGAACAAATTGGTGAGGACAATCAAAAATCTACTTTGTTAGGCCTTAAACAAGCTCAACTTGGAACTCTAGTTGATGGTTCGGTTTTAGCGGCAGATAAATCGCCCGTAACTGGAGTAGAAGCTGGAGTTTTAAGCGGAGTTCTGGGTGTTGTTGGTGGTCTATTGCCTTCATAAATGTGTTTTGGGAAAACGACATTTTTATCTATTTTTCCAAATTTTTATTACTTTTTGTAGACCAGTAATACAACATTCTACAACTTTTGAAAATAGTTTATAAAAATTAATAAAATTTGGAAAATGTTTAAACTAAAAATGTGTTTTCATCAAGAGATCAAAAGTTGAAGACAATAAATCCAAAATACAGTCCCTACTACGGTATAGACTATAGTACAGACTATAGTACAGACTATAGTCCAGACTATAGTATATACTACCCAGACTATAGTATAGACTATAGTCAAGAATATAGTCAAGACTATACCATAGACTATAGTATAGACTTCAGTACAGACTATAGTACAGATTATAGTATGGACTATAGTCCAGACTATAGTATGGATTATAGTCCAGACTATAGAATAGACTATAGTCCAGACTATAGTATAGACTATAAAATAGACTATAGTCCAAACTATAGTATAGACTATAGTCCAAACTATAGTATAGACCAGACTATAGTATAGACAGTCCAGACTATAGTAAAGACTATAGTCTATGCTATAGTATAGACTATAGTAAAGACTATAGTCCAGACTATAGAATAGATTATAGTCCAGACTATAGTATAGACTATAGTCCAGACTATAGTATAGACTATAGTCCAGACTATAGTATATACTACGGTATAGACTATAGTCCAGACGATAATATATGCTATAGAATAGACTACAGTCCAGACTATAGTATATACTATAGAATAGACTATAGTTCAAACTATAGTATAGACTATAGTATATACTATTGACCAGGCTATAGTATAGACAGTCCAGACTATAGTATACATATACTATAGTCCAGACTAAAGTATAGATAATAGTCTAGACTATAGTATGGACAATAGTATAGACCATAGTATAGACTATAGTCCAAACTATAGTATAGACTATAGTCCTGGCTATAGTATAGACTATATTCCAGACTATGGTATAGACTATAGTTTAGACTATAGTATAGACTATAGTTCAGACTATAGTATCGACTATAGTTCAGACTATAGCCCTCACTATAGTTCAGACTATAGTCCACACTACAGATCAGACTACAGTCCACACTACAGTTCAGATTATAGTCCGCACTATAGTTCAGACTATTGTCCAGACTACAATTCAGACTATAGTCCAGACTATAGTATAGACTATAGTCCAGGTCAAAGTCTAAAGTCTATAGTCCTTTATTTTCTTTTGCAGATAACATTTTCCTTTTAACTGATAACCTGAGCCCAGTGGAAGCCGATAGCTTTGCTCCCAAAAGAGTAGCTAGAGGTCTTATAAAATCCATAGCCCAGAAAAAGGAGTCACTATTTAAAGGTCACCGCCATAGAGGAAGTGATGAAAGTATTGGCAATATATTGCCTGAAAGACCAGGAAAAATATTGGAAGAAAGATTCCCAATAGGAATCGGAGGTAAATTGTCTTAAGGGGATACTAAGGGTATAATTAATTTTGAGTATTTTTTAGGTGGCCGCGGAAATATAATCGGCGGCATAGGAGGGCGCTTACCCATAGGTGGTATAATTGGTGGCTTGTTAAAGGATAAGAAAGCTCTATTAGAAGCTCTGTTTGAAGGAGGTCTTTCCTCTGTTAAGATATTAGGTGGTGGTGGTCTGTTGCCACGCAAACATCTTATTTTGAAAGCTTTACTGGACAATTTGGACTTTGGATTGCTGAAATTTCCCCTTACCGATGCTGCTGGCAAAGTTTTGGCTACTAAAAAAGCTTTTTTGGAAGCTATACTTGATAAAGGCTTAAAAGTTTTAAAATTCCCCCTAACTGATGGAGCTGGTGGTATATTAAAGGGAAAAGCGGATCTATTGGCGGTTATACTGGGAGAAGCTGTTGATGTAGTAACTGATGTGGTGGAAGCCGTTTTAGATGTACCCGCAGATTTGTTATCTGAACTCTTAGGTAGTGGTGCTTTATCAGCCTTAAAGTTCCCCATAACCGATGCAGTAGGAGGAGTTTTAAATGGCTTGGGTGATCTATTGGCTATAGTTATACAGGGAGTTTTTCGAGTTTTACAATTTCCCATTACTAATAAGGCGGGAGTGGTTTTAAAGGATCCCATAGCTTTATTAGAAGTGCTTATAAATAATAGTCCTTTAAAAATATTAAAGTTTCCCATAACTGATGCAGCCGGTAAGGTTTTGAAGGATAAATTGTCATTATTAAAGGGCATATTGGATGGCAGTGTTTTTAAGGTTTTAACATATCCCCTTAACGATGCAGCTGGTGTGGTGCTCAAAAGCCCAGATGCCATATTATCCGCCTTATCTAGTGATGGTGCTTTGGCAGCTTTAGGCTTACCCTTTACAGATGCTGCGGGTAAAATTATAAAGGGAAAGCAGGAACTTTTAAGTACCGTAGTAGGAGGTGCTTTATCGGCACTAAAATTCCCTTTAACAGATGGAGTCGGGGTGGTGCTAAAAACCCCAGCAGCTTTATTGGATACACTATTTTCGGCTGTCAAAAAGCTTTTACAAGCTAAACAGGATCTTTTACATGCTTTGTTGGTGCATGGCGCTCCCAATTTTAAATTCCCCATAACTGATGTATCTGGCACAGTGCTACACGACAAAGCTGATCTTTTGGCCGCTTTCCTAGATGGTGATGCTTTTGGCGCTTTAAAGTTTCCCCTTACTAATGGCGATGGTTTGGTATTCGAAAATGAAGATCATTTATTACAACTTATGTTTGAGGCAGGCGTTTTAGCTTTGGAATATCCCTTAACTAATGTTTGGGGAGTAGTATTGAAAAATGAGGCCGATCTAGTGGATGCTTTAATTGACGCCAGTGCTTTGGTGGCCTTAAAGTTTCCCATAACTGATGCCGCGAAAACCGGTTTAAAGGATACAGAAGCTTTTCTACAAGCCTTACTGCAGGGCAAAATAAAATTCCCCATAACTGATGCTACCGGTGAGGTAATAAAGGACTGGGCAGAGTTACTGGGTTTACTATTGGACTCGGATGCTTTAGTGGAATTGGGTTTTCCCATAACTGATGACGATGGGGCAGTTATAAAAGACAAAGCAGAGCTAATGGCCGATTTACTACATGGCGCCTTTTCTATCTTAAAGTTTCCCATTAAAGATGCTGCCGGAGAAATACTAAAGGATAAAGTGCAGCTGCTACAAATCCTGTTTGATGCCAGTGTTCTGTCACCTTTAAAATTCCCGGTAAAAAATCCCACCGGAGGCTTAATAGACAATAAGTTGCAATTGTTGGAAACTTTACTGGGTGGAATTGGTAGCTTAACATCACCAAATTTCCCTTTGACGGGTTTATTGGGAGGTGTTTTCAAGGATAAAGAAAATCTATTGCAATTGGTGCTGGACAAAGGTTTAACAGCCTTAAAATATCCTTTAACTGATATAGCTGGAGGTGTATTGAAAACCAAATTAGATCTATTGAAATTCCTATTAGATGCTGGACCATTGGCTGCCTTAAAATTCCCCATAACTGATGTGGCAGGAGCCGTAATAAAAGACAAAGCAGCCTTACTAGATACCCTACTAAATACTGATGCTTTAGGGGCTTTAAAATTCCCTCTAACTGATGTAGCCGGTACGGTTTTAAAGGGCAAGGTGGAATTATTGGGCTCTTTGTTAAATGGTCTATCAGCTCTAAAGTATCCTTTAACCGATGCTGCAGGAAAAATATTGAAAAATAAGACGGCTCTTTTGGAAACTGTACTCAACCTAGTCCTCTCAGTGCTTAAGCCGGTAACTGATATAATAGGTGGCATTTTTGATGGACAACCCGATGTTGAAGGAGATATAGTAGGAGATGATTTACCGGGCAATTCAATTTTATTGGAAACACTTTTAAGCGGCAAGGCTTTACCTGCCTTAAAGTTTCCTGTTACAGATGCCAGTGGTGGGATAATAGAAAACAATCTGGATTTAATGGAAAACATATTTACTAATGGTGTACTAGCTCTACAATTCCCCATTACTACGGCTGCGGATGTGGTTTTAAAAGATACAAAAGATCTTTTATTCGCTCTATTTGAAGGCGGTTCTTTGGCATCTCTGAAATACCCTATAACTGATTCTATTGGCTCTGTCTACAAAGATAAAAATAGTCTATTGGAGGCTTTTATTAAGGATGGCATATCAGACTTTAATTATCCCGCCAAAGATGCAGCTGGAGTCATGTTAAAAGACAAAGCAGATGTAATGCGAGCTTTGGGTGATTTGGCAACCTTCCAATTTCCTTTAACTGATAAAACAGGAGCTGTGATTGGAGATAAACTAACTTTTATACATTTTCTACTTAACAAGGGACTAGAGACCATAAAGTTTCCCTTAACTGATGCGGAGGGAGTAGTTTTATCCGATATACAAGCTGTAAAAGATAAACCCCAAATATTGGATTCGCTTTTAAGTGGTAAAGCTTTCGCCACCATAAAGTTTCCAGTAACTGATGCTAGCGGAAAGGTATTGGAGGACAATCTCGATTTGGTGGATTATATATTTGATAATGGTTTATTAGCTCTACAATATCCCATTACCAATGATGCTGGTGTTGTCTTTAATGAAGAAAAAGATGTTTTATTGACTCTCTTTGAGGGTGGTTCCTTGGCATCCTTGAAATTTCCCTTAACTGATAATGCTGGCACTGTGATAAAAGATAAAGTTAGTCTATTGGATCTCTTTATAAAGAAGGATTTATCAGCTATTAAATATCCAGCTACAGATGCTGCTGGAGTTACTTTGAAAGACAAGGCAGATGTGATTCGAGGCCTGGGTAAATTATCTGCCTTAAAGCTTCCACTAACCGACAAAAATGGTTCAGTTCTCGCTGATAAACTAGCTTTCATTAGTTTTATACTTAACCATGGATTAAAGGCCTTAAAGTTTCCCTTAACAGATGCCGAGGGAGATGTTTTAGCGAACATACAACTGGTAATACAATTAATAGGAGGATCAATAGAGGTTAAATCCGATGAAAAACCAGTAGTATTGGACTCATTGCTAAGTGGTAAAGCTTTTCCGGAAATTAAGTTTCCAGTAACTGATGCCAGCGGCGCAGTATTAGAAGATAGCCAGGACTTAGTGGAAAATATACTTGATGGTGGTGTATTAGCTCTTCAATTTCCCATTACGAATGCCGCTGGAGCCGTTTTAAATGATGAAAATGATCTTCTAAGTCTTCTATTTGATGGTGGATCTTTAGCATCCTTGAAATTTCCCATAACTGATGCTGCTGGTACCACTATTAAAGATAAAGACAGTTTATTGGCTGCTTTTATTGAGAAGGGTTTATCGGCTATTAAATATCCCGCTAAAGATGCTGCAGGGGTAACCTTGAAGGACAAGGCAGATGTTATACGAGGCCTGGGTAATTTAGCTGTTTTAAAGTTTCCTTTAACCGATAAAACCGGAACTGTGCTTGGCGATAAAATTGCTTTAATAAGTTTTCTAATTAATAATGGACTGAAAGCCTTAAAGTTTCCCTTAACTGATGCAACAGGAGCAGCTTTCGGTAGTATACAGATCGTAATACAAGTAAGAGAGGAATCAGTAGATGTAAAGCCCGATAAAGGTGGCGAGAAAACGGAGTTATTACAATCCCTGCTAAGTGGTAAAGCTTTCCCAGATATCAAGTTTCCAGTAACTGATGCCAGTGGCGGAGTAATGGAAGACAACTTAGATTTAGTGGAAAATATACTTGATGGTGGCGTTTTAGCTCTACAATTTCCCCTCACCAATGCCGCTGGCAATGTTTTAAATGACATAAAAGATCTATCAATCCTGCTATTTGATGGTGGTTCTTTGGCTTCCCTTAAATTTCCCATAACTGATGCTGCTGGTACCGCTATAAAGGATAAAGTCAGTCTATTGGATGCCTTTATTAAAAATGGTTTATCTGCCATTAAATATCCAGCTACTGATGCCGCTGGTGTTACTCTAAATGACAAGGCAGATGTTATCCAAGGTCTTAGTAATTTAGCAGCTTTAAAGTTTCCTCTAACTGACAAAACTGGCGCTGTTCTGGGTGACAAACTAGCTTTACTAAGTTTTGTAATTAATAACGGATTAAAGTCCCTAAAGTTCCCCTTAACTGATGCAACAGGCGCAGGTTTAGCAAGCATAAAAGTAGTAATACATATAAGAGAAGAATCTGTAGATGTAAAACCCGATATTGATGATGACAAACCAGATGAAGGTGGTAACATAACGATAATATTACAATCACTACTAAGTGGCAAAGCTTTTCCTTTCATAAAGTTTCCAATAACTGATGCCAGCGGTGGAGTGTTAGAAAGCAATGTTGACTTGGTAACGAACATACTGGGTGGTGGTGTATTAGCTCTACAATTTCCCATTACCAACGCTGCTGGCGATATTTTAAATAATAAAAAAGATCTCTTAATCGCTATATTTAATGGTGGTTCCTTGGCTTCCCTTAAATTCCCCATAACTGATGCTGCAGGCACAGTTTTAAAAGATAAAGATAGTCTCTTGGATGCTCTTATCAAGAATGGCTTATCAGGCTTTAAGTATCCAGTTACAGATGCTGCTGGAACTACTTTAAATAGCGAATTAGATGTTATAGAAGGCCTGGATAATTTGGCAGCCTTGAAGTTTCCACTAACCGACAAAACTGGAGCTGTAATCGGTGATAAATTAGCTTTAATAAGTTTTGTTATAAATAACGGCTTAAAGACCTTGAAATTTCCCATAACTGATGCGGCAGGAAAAGCTTTACCAGATATAGAAACAGTGTCTGATTTATTAGGACTCCCAACGATGGTTTTGGATGGATTGGGAGGAATTTTGGATGGCAAAGTAGATGTTTTGAAGACTCTATTAGATGACAAAGTTTTCTCTGCCTTTAAATTTCCAATAACTGATGCTAATAACAATGCTATAACAGATATATTTGCATTATACAGAATCTCGCTTAATGGTGCTCTATCCGCTTTACAATTCCCCATAACGGATAGCACTGGTGTTCAAATTAAGAACAAAGAACAACTTTTGCAGCTTATTTTCGACAATAGTCCATTGGCCTCTCTTAAATTCCCATTAACCGATAAAACTGGTGGAATTTTGAAGGACAAACAAGCTTTCTTAGTCGCTCTATTACAGGGAGATTTGTCCTCTTCCAAATTTCCCATAAAAGATGCTGCTGGTCAAATTTTAGAAAGCGAGTTCGCTATATTCCGGACCTTAACGGATACTAAAGCTTTGGAGTCTCTAAAGTTTCCCTTAACTGATGCTAAAGGAGGTGTTTTAAAGAATTTACTAGTTTTTATAGAGATTCTTATAAATAACGGTTTGAAGTCTTTACATTTTCCGTTAACCGATGCTGCTGGTGTAGTCTTGAACGGTAAAGAAGATTTACTGGGTTCACTTCTGGGTGGTGTAACGGATGTCGTGGGAGGAGTTGTGGATGGTGTTGGAGGAATATTGGATGGCAAAGTAGATGTTTTGAAAACTCTGCTAGATGACAAAGTTTTATCTGCCTTTAAATTTCCAATAACTGATGCTAATAACAATGCTATAACAGATATATTTGCATTATACCGAATCTCCCTTAATGGTGCTCTATCTGCTTTACAATTCCCCATAACCGATAGCACTGGTGTTCAAATTAAGGACAAAGAGCAACTTTTGCTGCTAATTTTCGACAATAGTCCATTGGCATCTCTTAAATTCCCCCTAACCGATAAAACTGGCGGAGTTTTGAAGGACAAACAAGCTTTCTTAGTCGCTCTATTACAGGGAGATTTGTCCTCTTCCAAATTTCCCATAAAAGATGCAGCTGGTCAAATTTTGGAAAGCGAATTCGCTATATTCCGGACCTTAACGGATGCTAAAGCCTTGAAGTCTCTTAAATTTCCCCTAACTGATGCTAAAGGCGGTGTTTTAAAGAATTTGCTAGTTTTTATAGATATTCTTATAAATAACGGTTTAAAGTCGTTACGCTTTCCGTTAACCGATGCCGCTGGAATAGTTCTGAACGGTAAAGAAGATTTGCTGGGTTCACTGCTGGGTGGTGTAACGGATGTCGTGGGAGGAGTTGTGGATGGTGTGGGAGGCGTTTTGGATGGCTTGGGAGGAATATTGGATGGCAAAGTAGATGTTTTGAAAACTCTGCTAGATGACAAAGTTTTATCTGCCTTTAAATTTCCAATAACTGATGCTAATAACAATGCTATAACAGATATATTTGCATTATACCGAATCTCCCTTAATGGTGCTCTATCTGCTTTACAATTCCCCATAACCGATAGCACTGGTGTTCAAATCAAGGACAAAGAACAACTTTTGCAGCTAATTTTCGACAATAGTCCATTGGCCTCTCTTAAATTTCCCTTAACCGATAAAACTGGTGGAGTTTTGAAGGATAAACAAGCTTTCTTAGTCGCTCTATTACAGGGAGATTTATCCTCTTCCAAATTTCCCATAAAAGATGCAGCTGGTCAAATTTTGGAAAGCGAGTTCGCTATATTCCGGACCTTAACGGATGCTAAAGCTTTGGAGTCTCTTAAGTTTCCCCTAACTGATGCTAAAGGAGGAGTTTTAAAGAATTTAATAGTTTTTATAGAGATTCTTATAAATAACGGTTTGAAGTCGTTACACTTTCCGTTAACCGATGCTGCTGGAGTAGCTCTGAACGGTAAAGAAGATTTGCTGGGTTCACTGCTGGGTGGTGTAACGGATGTCGTGGGAGGAGTTGTGGATGGTGTTGGAGGAGTTTTGGATGGATTGGGAGGAATACTGGATGGCAAAGTAGATGTTTTGAAAACTCTGCTAGATGACAAAGTTTTATCTGCCTTTAAATTTCCAATAACTGATGCTAATAACAATGCTATAACAGATATATTTGCATTATACCGAATCTCCCTTAATGGTGCTCTATCTGCTTTACAATTCCCCATAACCGATAGCACTGGTGTTCAAATCAAGGACAAAGAACAACTTTTGCAGCTAATTTTCGACAATAGTCCATTGGCCTCTCTTAAATTCCCATTAACCGATAAAACTGGTGGAGTTTTGAAGGATAAGCAAGCTTTCTTATTCGCTCTATTACAGGGAGATTTGTCCTCTTCCAAATTTCCCCTAAAAGATGCTGCTGGCCAAATTTTGGAAAGCGAGTTCGCTATATTCCGGACCTTAACGGATGCTAAAGCTTTGGAGTCTCTTAAGTTTCCCTTAACTGATGCTAAAGGCGGAGTTTTAAAGAATTTACTAGTTTTTATAGAAATTCTTATAAATAACGGCTTGAAGGCCTTACACTTTCCATTAACCGATGCCGCTGGAATAGTTCTGAACGGTAAAGAAGATTTGCTGGGTTCACTGCTGGGTGGTGTAACGGATATCGTGGGAGGAGTTGTGGATGGTGTGGGAGGTGTTTTGGATGGCTTGGGAGGAATATTGGATGGCAAAGTAGATGTTTTGAAAACTCTGCTCGATGACAAAGTTTTATCTGCCTTTAAATTTCCCATAACTGATGCTAATAACAACGCTATAACAGATATATTTGCATTATACCGAATCTCCCTTAATGGTGCTCTATCTGCTTTACAATTCCCCATAACCGATAGCACTGGTGTTCAAATCAAGGACAAAGAACAACTTTTACAGCTAATTTTCGACAATAGTCCATTGGCCTCTCTTAAATTTCCCTTAACTGATAAAACTGGTGGAGTTTTGAAGGATAAACAAGCTTTCTTAGTCGCTCTATTACAGGGAGATTTGTCCTCTTCCAAATTTCCCATAAAAGATGCTGCTGGTCAAATTTTGGAAAGCGAATTCGCTATATTCCGGACCTTAACGGATGCTAAAGCCTTGGAGTCTCTTAAATTTCCCCTAACTGATGCTAAAAGCGGTGTTTTAAAGAATTTGCTAGTTTTTATAGAGATTCTTATAAATAACGGTTTGAAGTCTTTACACTTTCCGTTAACCGATGCTGCTGGTGTAGTTTTGAACGGTAAAGAAGATTTGCTGTGTTCACTGCTGGGTAGTGTAACGGATGTCGTGGGAGGAGTAGTGGATGGTGTTGGAGGTGTTTTGGATGGATTGGGAGGAATTTTGGATGGCAAAGTAGATGTTTTGAAAACTCTGCTAGATGACAAAGTTTTATCTGCCTTTAAATTTCCAATAACTGATGCTAATAACAATGCTATAACAGATATATTTGCATTATACCGAATCTCGCTTAATGGTGCTCTATCTGCTTTACAATTCCCCATAACCGATAGCACTGGTGTTCAAATTAAGGACAAAGAACAACTTTTGCAGCTAATTTTCGACAATAGTCCATTGGCATCTCTTAAATTCCCCTTAACCGATAAAACTGGTGGAGTTTTGAAGGACAAACAAGCTTTCTTAGTCGCTCTATTACAGGGAGATTTGTCCTCTTCTAAATTTCCCATAAAAGATGCAGCTGGTCAAATTTTGGAAAGCGAGTTCGCTATATTCCGGACCTTAACGGATGCTAAAGCTTTGGAATCTCTTAAGTTTCCCTTAACTGATGCTAAAGGCGGAGTTTTAAAGAATTTGCTAGTTTTTATAGAAATTCTTATAAATAACGGTTTGAAGGCCTTACACTTTCCATTAACCGATGCTGCTGGTGTAGTTTTGAAAGGTAAAGAAGATTTGCTGGGTTCACTGCTTGGTGGTGTAACGGATGTCGTAGGAGGAATTGTCGATGGTGTGGGAGGAATTGTGGATGGTGTGGGTGGAGGTTTAGATGGGAAATTTGATATTATTAAAACTCTGCTAGATGGCAAAGCTCTATCTGCTATTAAGTTTCCAGTAACCGATGCAAATGAAGAAGTTTTTCCGGATATCTTAAGTCTTTACGAACTCATATTTACTGGTGCTATGGATGCTTTAGAATTCCCCATAACTGATAAAACGGGTGCTCAATTCGACGATAAAGAAGCTGCCTTACGCTTGATGTTTGATAATAGTCCATTGGCTTCCCTAAAATTCCCGTTAACCGATAAAACTGGTGCCGTTTTAGAAGATAAACATGACTTCTTAATAGCTTTGCTAGATGCGGATTTATCCTCAGCTAACTTCCCTATAAAAGATGCTAAAGGTCAAGTTTTGCAGAGCAAGCTAGCTATACTCCAGGCTTTAGGGGATCCCAAGGCCTTCGGCGCTCTCAAGTTTCCCTTAACCGATGATAATGGTAAAGTTTTAAAGGATTTATTAGTGTTCATAAAGATTATTTTGAATATCGCTTTGGAAAGCATAAACTATCCTTTAACTGATGCTGCTGGTAAAGTTTTAAAGAGTAAGACAGCCTTGCTGGAATTGTTGTTGGGTCCGGGAGCAGCTTTGTTAGAGGGAATTGGTGGTTTAGATGATTTGGGTTCAGCAGTGGGTGATGTTATAGGTGGTGGTTTTGGCCATTCGGGTAAGTTGAAGGTTTAAAACCTTTCTTTCTTTAAGATTGAAATGATCAAGTGGGATTCTTTTTATTTAGATGAAGACTCTAGTGAGGACCTCGAAGGTGGTTTACCGGGTGGTATTATAAAATTATTGGGACAACATAAGCATTCTTTGCCAGCCGATAAAGCAATACTTTTAGAGCTATTCGCCGATGGTACCATTAATGAAAAGGATTTAAGATTAATTTTAGGTAAGTTGGCAAGTACTTGCATAAAGGGGTACAAAATTTGGGGGATTTGTTAACAGGTATCTATATTTCTTTCATTTTCTTTTATTAATTTATTATTCTATTCCATTCTAGGTGATAAAAAATTTCACGAAATAAAATCAATGATATCGGGAGCCTTACATGGTGGGGTAGAATTTGATGAGCCGAAGAAAACTGGTCTTGTGGGTGGTATTCTAGATTTACTGGGCGGCGTTTTGGGTTTAAGTCATCGTCATAGTCACGGCAGATTACAACAGAATATTTCTGTTAAATTAGAAAGATTGCGTAATCGCAATTAATTTACTTATAATGTTTTCTATAGCAAATCAAATCCGGTTTTAAATTGTAAATTCTTTTATTTTCAAAAAAAAAAAAAACAAAAAAAAAAACTTTAACAAACTTCTTTTATTTATTACAATTTAGTTCACACTCTACTCAAATAGAATTTTTTTGTCATAACATGTTAAATAAATATTGCAGTTTTTGCTCCTTACGCAACTAATTTTTACTTATTTTAAAACTAAAATTGAATTGGAAAATTCATTAAGTTTTTCACAAACTCTCAATAATAGTGTTTTAGTTCTGTTCTAGTTATGTTCTAGTTCTGTTCTAGTTCTGTTCTAGTTCTGTTCTAGTTCTGTTCTAGTTCTGTTCTAGTTCTGTTCTAGTTCTGTTCTAGTTCTGTTCTAGTTCTGTTCTAGTTCTGTTCTAGTTCTGTTCTAGTTCTGTTCTAGTTCTGTTCTAGTTCTGTTCTAGTTCTGTTCTAGTTCTGTTCTAGTTCTGTTCTAGTTCTGTTCTAGTCTGTTCTAGTTCTGTTCTAGTTCTGTTCTAGTTCTGTTCTAGTTCTGTTCTAGTTCTGTTCTAGTTCTGTTTCTAGTTCTGTTCTAGTTCTGTTCTAGTTCTGTTCTAGTTCTGTTCTAGTTCTGTTCTAGTTCTGTTCTAGTTCTGTTCTAGTTCTGTTCTAGTTCTGTTCTAGTTCTGTTCTAGCTGTTCTAGTTCTGTTCTAGTTCTGTTCTAGTTCTGTTCTAGTTCTGTTCTAGTTCTGTTCTAGTTCTGTTCTAGTTCTGTTCTAGTTCTGTTCTAGTTCTGTTCTAGTTCTGTTCTAGTTCTGTTCTAGTTCTGTTCTAGTTCTGTTCTAGTTCTGTTCTAGTTCTGTTCTAGTTCTGTTCTAGTTCTGTTCTAGTTCTGTTCTAGTTCTGTTCTAGTTCTGTTCTAGTTCTGTTCTAGTTCTGTTCTAGTTCTGTTCTAGTTCTGTTCTAGTTCTGTTCTAGTTCTGTTCTAGTTCTGTTCTAGTTCTGTTCTAGTTCGTTCTAGTTCGTTCTAGTTCTGTTCTAGTTCTGTTCTAGTTCTGTTCTAGTTCTGTTCTAGTTCTGTTCTAGTTCTGTTCTAGTTCTGTTCTAGTTCTGTTCTAGTTCTGTTCTAGTTCTGTTCTAGTTCTGTTCTAGTTCTGTTCTAGTTCTGTTCTAGTTCTGTTCTAGTTCTGTTCTAGTTCTGTTCTAGTTCTGTTCTAGTTCTGTTCTAGTTCTGTTCTAGTTCTGTTCTAGTTCTGTTCTAGTTCTGTTCTAGTTCTGTTCTAGTTCTGTTCTAGTTCTGTTCTAGTTCTGTTCTAGTTCTGTTCTAGTTCTGTTCTAGTTCTGTTCTAGTTCTGTTCTAGTTCTGTTCTAGTTCTGTTCTAGTTCTGTTCTAGTTCTGTTCTAGTTCTGTTCTAGTTCTGTTCTGGTTCTGTTCTAGTTCTGTTCTAGTTCTGTTCTAGTTCTGTTCTAGTTTTGTTCTAGTTTTGTTCTAGTTTTGTTCTAGTTCTGTTCTAGTTCTGTTCTAGTTCTGTTCTAGTACTGTTCTAGTTTTGTTCTAGTTCTGTTCTAGTTCTGTTCTAGTTCTGTTCTAGTTCTGTTCTAGTTCTGTTCTAGTTCTGTTCTAGTTCTGTTCTAGTTCTGTTCAAGTTTTGTTCTAGTTTTGTTCTAGTTCTGTTCTAGTTCTGTTCTAATTATGTTCTAATTCAGTTCTGGTTCTGTTCTAGTTCTGTTCTTTTAGAACTGTAAAATTTTTCTAATATTTTATTTCTAGTTTTACTTCCCCGTAAATTCCCAAAAAGTAAACACAAAATCCCATAGCGAGAAAAATGCTCAAAATCATTGGAAATTTATGAGTTCACTTTATCTAGACGAAATTTTAATATTTTGAAAAAAAAAACATAAATACCCATTTAAATTTTCAAAATTCCCAATTGGAAAATTTAGTGAATAAGGTTTGGGAATTGGTGTCTAATGATCACTGATATTAAATAGTTGTATAGAAACTTTAAATACTTCGAAAAACATCAATAAAATTCTTGGTAAACGCTTATGTATTCAGTTCCCCGTAGAGTTTTAAGTTTCCCCTTTTCCAAAAAATTCTTTATTATTAGGAAAAAGATTTTTTCTAATAACATTTCTTGTTTATCATGTTAACCCAAAAGAGTTAAAGGAGATTTATGAGCACTAATGACTTCCAAAATCGCGTCCACAGTGCCTTGCAGTTGAGAAACATCCACGCCCACATTCTCCTTGTTGCCCTTGCCGTTTTGTAAAGTATTGGTCTTGGCTAAAAAAAATTTATAAATTGTCTTTAAATATCTTAAATTGTGAAAGTATTTCACGCACCTAGTTGCAAAGTTTTTACCAATTGCACCGGCTTGGTCAAATGTAAGTAAAAAGTATTACAAAGTCATTATAACTAAAAATATTTTTTTTTTTTTTTTTTTTTGCAAACTCATTCTTCGATTTTAAAAACTAACCGCTTTTTAAAAGCTTACTGCAATTTTTAAACCAAAATCAAATTGATTTTTTACAATTAGAAATTATTTTTATTGGCACGTTTTATTTTACAATAAAATTGCTGATTTTATTTATGTGTGTGTGCGTATTTGCTGCAGTAGGTGTAATAATTTGATTGTTTATTAAACAAATTATTTTGTAAACTATAAATTATATTTGCTACGTGCTTTAGTACTAAAATCCAGAACATTTGTTTTAATGATTTTCTCATATAAAAACAACAGCAGGCGAATTTTACGAGACATCGTTTAGAAAAGTCTTAGTTGCTGGAGGGTTTTAAATAAGAAAGAAGTAGAGAAAAAATGCGTTTTATTGCGGTAATTCTATTGCTGCTGAGTGTTGATCTTACGCTGGTTCGTAGCCGACCCAATATGGATAAAATTCTGAATACACAAATTGGTAAGTAAACTGTGAGATTAAACAGTTTAAGCCCAAAAAGATACTTCGGTAAAATTTTAAATTTCTAATACATTACCTTCTGTAAGCTAGTGTAAAAATCAGTTCTATTAGACCTTACATAATAAGTTCAACTTTGCACGTTAGTTGAGGGTAGATTCTAACGGCTGGTAAACCGCCTATAATTGCAGTAGAAGCTGGAATTTTGGATTTAGTTGGTGCCCTATTGCCTTCGTAATTGTTCGTCATCAAATTTTAATCAAATTTTCCAAATTGTTATTACTTTTTGTATATAATTGACTCTAGCTTTTGCACCAAGTACCATAACTGTATATGTTTTATAAAAATTAATAAAATTTGGAAAATGTCAAAAATAAAAATGTGTTTTCATTAAGAGATCAATAGATCCTAACATCAATTCAAAATTCCAAAGAGTAGACTCTATATTCTTGAATAGACTCGCAAACTGACTGCGAAGATACTATAGCCCACACATAAAATAGTTCAAACTAAGGAATAGCCTATAGTCCAGACTATTGTCCACACTATAGGATAGCCCATAGTCCAAACTATAGAATGGAATATACTCCAGACTATAGAAGAGACCATAGTCCCGACTATAGATTAGAGTAGCCCAGACTATTGTATAGACTATAGTATAGAAGACTATAGTCCAGACTATAGTATAGACTATAGTCCAGACTATAGTATAGACTATAGTCCAGACTATAATATAGACTATAGACCAGACTATAGTATAGACTATAGTCCAGACTATAGTACAGACTATAGTACAGACTATAGTATAGACTATAGTATAGACTATAGTATAGACTATAGTATAGACTATAGTCCAGACTATAGTATAGATTATAGTCCAGACTATAGTATAGATTATAGTCCAGACTATAGTATAGACTATAATCCAGACTATAATAAAGACTATAGCACAGACTATAATCCAGAATATAGTCCCAACTATAGTATAGACTATAGTCTAGCCTATAGTCCAGACTATAGTCCGAAATATAGTATAGACTATAGTCCAAATTTTAGTATAAACTATATTCCAGACAATAATATAGACTATAGTCCAGACTATAGTATAAACGATAGCATAGACTAGTCGAGTCTATAGTATATACTTTAGGCCAGACTATTGTCAACACTATATAATAGCCCATAGTCCATACTATAGTATAGACTATAGCATAGACTATAGTCCAGACTATAGTAAAGACTATAGTCCAGACTATAGTATAGACTGCAGTCCAACTTTAGTTCAGATAATGGAATAATTTAAAGTCCAGACTACAGTTCAGACTATAATCTCAACTATAGATCAGACTGTAGTCCAGTACATTATATATACTATGGTCTAAACTATTGTATAGGAAACAGTCCTCACTTTCTATTATAGCGCCGACTGTACAAATATCCTTCCTTTTTTTTCAGATAACATTTTCCTTTCAACCGATAACCTGGCCCCAGTGGAAGCTGATAGATTTTATTCCAAAAGAGTACCTAGAGAACTTATTAAATCCATAGCTCTTAAAAAGGAGATACTACTTAAAGATGAAGGACTATGTTGCGGCATAAGCGATATATTGCCAGAAAAACCTGGTCTATATGTGGTTATCTTACCAATAACACAATCTAAAGATATACTTCTTCCTCAACCCCCAGAGAAAATAGTGGAAGATAAAATTCCGGTAAAAATCGGAGGTATGTTATCTTAAGAGGATGTTTATCTTTAAGAAGAATTAATATATGTACACCTTTTACAGCAGGCCAGGGAATATTGGGAGAAGTTGTTGGGTTAGTAACCGATGTGTTAGGAACCGTTTTAAATATACCCGTTGAACTCTTGACTGAACTCTTAGGTGCTTTATCGGTCTTAAAGTTCCCCCTAACCGATGCAGTAGGAGGAGTTTTAAATGGCTTGGGTGATTTATTAGCTTTAGTTATAGAGGAAGTTTTGAAAGTTTTAAAATTTCCTATAACTAATAAGGCGGGAGTAGTTTTAAAGGATCCAGTGGCTTTATTAGAAATTCTAATAAATAATAGTCCTTTAAAGGTTTTAAAGTTCCCCATAACTGATGCAGCTGGTAAGGTATTAGATGATAAATTGTCATTATTAAAGGGCATATTGGATGGCAGTGTTTTTAAGGCTTTAACATATCCCCTTAACGATGCAGCTGGTGTGACCCTGAAAAGCCCAGATGCCTTATTAGCCGCCTTATTTAATGACAAAGCCTTAACAGCTTTAGGCTTACCAATTACAGATGCTGCTGGTAAAATTATAAAGGGAAAACAGGAACTATTGAACACCTTAGTAGGAGGCGCTTTATCAAAACTAAAATTCCCCCTAACAGATGCTGCCGGTGTAGTGCTTAAAACCCTAACAGCTTTATTGGATACATTATTTTCGGCTGTGAAAAAGCTTTTGCTAGCTAAACTGGATCTCCCCTTAACGGAAGTACTACAAGACAAAACTGAACTTTTAGCCGTCTTGTTAGATGGTGATGCTTTGGGTGCTTTAAAGTTTCCCCTAACTAATGGCGATGGTTTGGTGTTGGAAAATAAAGATCATTTATTACAACTAATGTTTGCAGCAGGCGTTTTAGCTTTGGAATATCCCTTAACTAATGTCTGGGGAGTGATATTAAAGAATGAGGCCGATCTAGTGGATGCTTTAATTGATGCTAGTGCTTTGGCAGGCTTAACGTTTCCCATAACGGATGCTGATAAAACTGTTTTAAAAGATAAAGAAGCTTTTCTGCAGGCCATGTTGCAGGGGGGCAAAATACAATTTCCCATAACTAATGATTGCGGCATAGTTATAAAGGAGTTTGCAGAGTTACTAGGTTTATTACTAGACCCGGCTGCTTTAGACAAATTAGGCTTTCCCCTAACTAATGGCGAGGGGGCAGTTATAAAAGATAAAACTGAACTATTGGACGATATAATAAAAGGAGCTTTTTCAATCTTAAAGTACCCCATAAAAGATAGCGCAGGAGGAATAATAAAAGATAAAGAGCAGCTGCTTCAAATACTGTTTAAAGCCAGTATAAAACATCACACCGGAGGATTAATAGAAAATAAATTGAAATTACTGGATACCTTACTTGGGACAATTGATAGTTTAACCACACCTTTGACTGGTTTATTGGGAGGCGTCTTAAAAAATATAGAAAATCCATTGAAGTTAGTGCTAGACAAAGGTTTGGCAGCCTTAAAATATCCCCTAACTGATGTAGCTGGTGGAGTATTGAAAACCAAAATAGATCTATTGAAATTCTTAGTAGATGCGGGACCATTGGCTGCCTTAAACTACCCCATAACTGATGCGGCAGGAGTAGTACTAAAAGATACACAAGCCTTACTAGATCTTCTGCTCAAGCCAGATGCTTTAGCGGCTTTAAAATTCCCTCTAACTGATGTAGCCGGCAATGTTTTAAAAGGAAAGATGGAATTATTGGAATCATTGCTTAATGGTCTAACAGCTCTAAAGTATCCTCTAACCGATGCTGTGGGAAACATTTTGAAAACTAAAACAGCCCTTTTGGAAACCATACTTAATATTGTGCTATCACTGCTAAAGCCGGTAACTGATTTACTGGGAGGCCTATTGAATGGACCACCCGCTGTTAAAGTAGAAGCTTTACCTAGCAAGCCAGATGTAGCAGAAGTTGTTTTACCCGACAAATCTAAGTTATTGGAGTTGCTTTTAAGCGGCAAAACTCTTCCGCCAATTAAGTTTCCAGTAACTGATGCCAGTGGAGCGGTAATAGCAAATAACCTAGATTTAGTGGAAAACATACTGGCGGGTGGTTTACTAGCTCTAAAATTCCCCATTACCAATGCTGCGGGTATAGTTTTGAATGACCTCAAAGAGCTTTTAGCCGCTCTTTTCGATGCTGGTCCATTGGCTGCCCTGAAGTTTCCTATAACCGATGCTGCTGGCGCCGTTATAAAAGATAAAGACAGTCTATTGGAAGCTTTTCTAATGAAGGGTTTGTCAGCCATTAAATATCCCGCTAAAGATGCTGCAGGGGTTAGTATAAAAGACAAAGCAGAAGTCTTACTAGGTCTAAGTAATTTAGCAGCCTTAAAGTTTCCTCTAACTGATGGAACGGGAGCAGTACTGGGAGATGAACTAGCTTTAGTAAAGTTTCTTATTACTAATGGATTAAAGGCCTTAAAATTTCCCTTAACTGATGCAGCAGGTGTAGTATTGCCTGATATGCTGGCGTTACTAGACTTACTAGAGGGCTTGTTGAATGCTAAACCCGATATCGCCGACATATCTAAGTTATTGGGATTGCTTTTAAGCGGCAAAGCTCTTCCGCCAATTAAGTTTCCAGTAACTGATGCCAGTGGAGCGGTAATAGCAAATAACCTAGATTTAGTGGAAAACATACTGGCGGGTGGTTTACTAGCTCTTAAATTTCCCATTACCAATGCTGCGGGTATAGTTTTGAATGACCTTAAAGAGCTTTTGGCCGCTCTTTTCGATGCTGGTCCATTGGCTGCCCTGAAGTTTCCAATAACCGATGCTGCTGGTATCGCCATTAAAGATAAAGTCAGTCTATTGGATGCTTTTCTTATGAAGGGTTTGTCAGCCATTAAATATCCTGCTAAAGATGCTGCAGGGGTTACTTTGAAAGATAAGGGAGATGTGATATTAGGTCTAAGTAACATAGCGGCCTTAAAGTTCCCTCTAACTGATGGTACAGGAGCAGTGCTGGGAGATGAACTAGCTTTAGTAAAGTTTCTTATTACTAATGGACTAAAGGCTCTTAAGTTTCCTTTAACTGATGCAGCAGGTGTAGTATTGCCTGATATGTTGGCGTTACTAGACTTACTAGAGGGCTTATTGAATGCTAAACCCGATATCGCCGACATACCCAAGTTATTGGGATTGCTTTTAAGCGGCAAAGCTCTTCCGCCAATTAAGTTTCCAGTAACTGATGCCAGTGGAGCGGTAATAGCAAACAACCTAGATTTAGTGGAAAACATACTGGCAGGTGGTTTACTAGCTCTAAAATTTCCCATTACCAATGCTGCGGGTGTAGTTTTGAATGACCTTAAAGAGCTTTTAGCCGCTCTTTTCGATGCTGGTCCATTGGCTGCCCTGAAGTTTCCAATAACCGATGCTGCTGGTATCGCCATTAAAGATAAAGTCAGTCTATTGGATGCTTTTCTTATGAAGGGTTTGTCAGCCATTAAATATCCTGCTAAAGATGCTGCAGGGGTTACTTTGAAAGATAAGGGAGATGTGATATTAGGTCTAAGTAACATAGCGGCCTTAAAGTTCCCTCTAACTGATGGTACAGGAGCAGTGCTGGGAGATGAACTAGCTTTAGTAAAGTTTCTTATTACTAATGGACTAAAGGCTCTAAAGTTTCCTTTAACTGATGCAGCAGGTGTAGTATTGCCTGATATGTTGGCGTTACTAGACTTACTAGAGGGCTTATTGAATGCTAAACCCGATATCGCCGACATACCCAAGTTATTGGGATTGCTTTTAAGCGGCAAAGCTCTTCCTCCAATTAAGTTTCCAGTAACTGATGCCAGTGGAGCGGTAATAGCAAACAACCTAGATTTAGTGGAAAACATACTAGCGGGAGGTTTACTAGCTCTAAAATTCCCCATTACCAATGCTGCGGGTATAGTTTTGAATGACCTCAAGGAGCTTTTAGCCGCTCTCTTCGATGCAGGTCCATTAGCTGCCCTGAAGTTTCCCATAACCGATGCTGCTGGTGCCGTTATAAAAGATAAAGACAGTCTATTGGATGCTTTTCTTATGAAGGGTTTGTCAGCCATTAAATATCCTGCTAAAGATGCTGCAGGGGTTACTTTGAAAGATAAGGGAGATGTGATACTAGGTCTTAGTAATTTAGCTGCCTTAAAGTTTCCTCTAACTGATGGTACGGGAGCAGTGCTGGGAGATGTACTAGCTTTAGTAAAGTTTCTTATTATTAATGGATTAAAGGCCTTAAAGTTTCCCTTAACTGATGCAGCGGGTGTAGTATTGCCTGATATGCAGGCGATACTAGATTTATTAGGGGAACTATTGAAAGCTACACCGGATATAAAAGAAGATATTTTACCTGACAAACCGGTATTATTGGATGGAATTTTGGAGGCCGAACTAAAAGTCCCAAGTGAAGAGCCAGAAGCCGCTTTGCCTGGAGGTATTATCACATTATTGCCACACCAAAAGCCTTCATTGTCAGTTGATAAAGCAATAATTTTAGTGATATTGGGGGATGGTACCATAAATGCAAAGGATTTAAAATTAATTTTAGGTAAGCTTCATCTTATGTCTATATTTTTCGCGATTTCTTTTATTTGTTTCTTTCCTTTTTAGGTGATAAACAATTTGCCGAATTAAAATCGAAAATAATGGAAGCCTTACATGGAGGGGCCCAAGTAGATGGTCTAGTGGCAGTAATCCTAGATTTTCTGGGCGGTGTTTTGGGTTTGGAAAAATTACTTGAACAAGATTCATTTACATAGGGAGCCTTCTGTCAGAAAAAGTCAAATACCCCTACCCCTTAAATTTCATTATTTAAAAATTCCCCAAAATTTGCATACATCTTCTTCTCCCGCCCCCTTTAACACAAACTAAATAAATAAATTATTCTCTTCGTTTTTTTTTTTTTTTTTCAAATAAACAAATAAAGCTGTTACTGATTTTATGTTTAATTTAATTCCTATCAAACCCCCTCTATCCAAAACCCATCTGCTTTCTGACTAATGTCAATAGTACTTCTTGCTCATACTCAACTTACAGTTATGTTTATTTTTCGCATCCTGCGGCCATATTTCTCTTTAACTTTACGTATTTTTTTTTTTTGGTTCATATGAAATTCATTATAATAATTTGCATAATTTCATAAAAATTATTAAACATTATTTGTTTAGCACAACTGATTGTGTATATATATGTATATTGCATTTAAATTGTTTATTTAGAGATTAAATTACACATTTCAAAAGAAAAAGGGAAACAACAAAAAACAAGATGAGTATGTCATCATCATCATTCATATACTGAACTAAATTGAAATATGTCAATATTTACTGGGTATTTAAATGAGAGAAATAACAAAAACAATAACAAACAGGTAAGAATATATAGTCGTGCGTGGCCGAACATATGATACCCTACACCGCTGCTTATGTTACAAATTTTCATTATTTTTTTTTTTTCCTATCTTTATAAATTTTGGTAGAGGGATTTACGTCTACATTACTTATTTATACAGAATATCATAGTGATACTAGTGTTTATAAGTGAATTTTGACAATCAAGTCATTTTCTGAAAGGAACATTGTATGGAGGATAGGGTGAAATGAGCCCCGATCATTACGAAAATCAGCAGTATCATTAAGACAAGCTAAGTTTTGCCGATTTTTGAAGCGACACTAGAACATTCAACTACTATGTATAAGCTCAAAAGCCCTATTCGGGGGTACGGTTGAATGGGGGTTAAACGAAATAATGGACCAATTTTAACTATTTTCAATAGGCTTCGTCCTTGAGTCTAAATTATCCTGTAGAGTGCGCACAAGGTTTACATGGACACACAGACGGACTCAGAATCGACTCAGAAAGTGATTCTGAACCGATTGCTATACTTAAAGGTGGACGACCAATATTTTTGAGTGTTACAAACACCAGCACAAACGCATAATGTCCTCCCCACTATAGTGATGTAGGGTATAAAAACAAAGGAAAACGAAACCAAAAAAAAACAACTGTTTACTAAGGTTTGAAGGACAATATTTTGGAATAACCCATCAAACATTTGGAAGACGAAACAATAAAAAATATTTGTAGACGTGACTTTAAAACTTATTCCTTAAACACTTCAGATAGTTTTCAGTTCAATGAGTAGATAACGCTCTAGTTAGTTAGTTAGTTAGTTAGTTAGTTAGTTAGTTAGTTAGTTAGTTAGTTAGTTAGTTAGTTAGTTAGTTAGTTAGTTAGTTAGTTAGTTAGTTAGTTAGTTAGTTAGTTAGTTAGTTAGTTAGTTAGTTAGTTAGTTAGTTAGTTAGTTAGTTAGTTAGTTAGTTAGTTAGTTAGTTAGTTAGTTAGTTAGTTAGTTAGTTAGTTAGTTAGTTAGTTAGTTAGTTAGTTAGTTAGTTAGTTAGTTAGTTAGTTAGTTAGTTAGTTAGTTAGTTAGTTAGTTAGTTAGTTAGTTAGTTAGTTAGTTAGTTAGTTAGTTAGTTAGTTAGTTAGTTAGTTAGTTAGTTAGTTAGTTAGTTAGTTAGTTAGTTAGTTAGTTAGTTAGTTAGTTAGTTAGTTAGTTAGTTAGTTAGTTAGTCTCTTCTGTGATGACAAATGTTTGCTGGGTTGCAACATACAGTCAAACATATGTTTGTTTACCTTTATATGTTTTGTTTACTTTTAGTTTTTGTTGTTTTTTTTTTTCTCCTTTACTTTTTAGGGAGTATTTCACTTAATTAGTGGTGAGTGAAGATGAATAAAAAGTTCAAAAAATTACCGTTAGAGAGTCAGAAATCAAAATTTAATTAAGAGAAGCTCTTGTTTACTTTAATTAACATTTAATTTTTCATTTAATAAAGAAAATATTTATTGAAATATGTAAGTAAGTACATATGTAATTGACATATTGTTATAATATAAAAATCTAATTAAATTCTTTAAGCAATATATTAGTTTTATGTTTACTTTGTAACACTTGTATAGGAAAGCATTTTTACAAGATAAAACTTATCAAAAATGTAAGGGAGTTAACGACGTATTAAAAGAAATCAATTATTAAAGAGTCAAGATGTTGCAAGTTTATGTGAGAAGTCAACTGCTGTTGGTATAAGGGAAAATTTTTGGGAGAAAAATAATAATTTTGCAATGGAGGAAACAAAAGGACAGACAGACGGACACGGCTTAATGGACTGTGCTATATATAAGGATCCAGAATATAATACTTTATGTGATTGGAAAATTATACTATTGTGGAAATTACAAACTTATATTTACCCTTCTCACGAAAGTGAAGGGTGTAAAAAAGTACTAATAATTCTGCCTTGGCCTTAAAAAAGTCCCAAAATTACTCTTTGAAAATATAAAAAGTTTTGTGGTTCTTAATTATGGAAAATCTAATGTAGCGGAAAAAAGTTAAATTAAAGAAAAATTTTAACAATTTTGCAACGGCCTTAAAAAAGTACTTTTGGTACTTTTTTAAAATATGACAAATTTTATAATTTTTAGCATTTAAATACCCAAAAAAACACCTTAAGTTAAAAATTTAACAAAAAATTGCAAAGCTTTCAAACGGTACTTTTGGTACTTTTTTAAGGACCAAAAGTACTTTTTTTAAATGAATAAAATTTTGTAGTTTTAAATGGCAATTTTAATAAAATCTAACAAAGCTGTTTCACTGTCTTTAAAAAGTAACAAAATTTCTTACATATTCTGCTCAATGTTTTAGAAAAATTAACTTTTCACAAAAAAGTCCCTTTTTCCTTTAAGAGCTTTTGCTTAAAACTAAAATCCACTCAAGACTCATCTTATTAATAAACAGCTGAGGTCTCTCTAATCTTTTTTAATAATTTTATTAACAACCTTTTGTTTTTTATTTAATTAATTTATAGAATCTGTATAATAACTTAATAGAGGGTTAACCATTTTAATCCCTTTTTGGGATGTTGTGAAAAAAGGTACACTTCGCATAATCATTGCAACAAATCTTAAACACCTTACAAAAAAGGTAACAAACTATAGAACGGCTTAAACAACTTGTTAACCAAATATAATTACAAAATGCCATTATGTTTTACAAACACAAACACACAGCAGGAGCTCTTAAACAATACTAAAACTACAGCAGCAGGACCTTTTTTTGAAACAAAACAAAATGGAATAAAAAAGAAACTGAAAAAATTAAAACCACACACCGTATGTCTCTTGATACTACACTTGTATGTATGTGTGGCGTTACTTGAATGTGTAAATTTTTGCACTTTGTCTTTTGTTTTAAAGCTAGAGCAGAGCGGTTGGAAGCGTTTTAATGTTGATTAAGGAAACCTTAGATTTAAACACACACATACACACTCTTTCACTCTTATATAAAAGAAAATATAACATATGTTATGTTTTTGAATATCCTGGCAACTGACACTGACTACGCCAGCATGGTTGTCGTCGTCATCATCATCATCATGACTGTCAATGGTTTCATATTGACCACACATGCTACTTTTTAAGGACCTTTGGGTAAAACGATGTGCGTGTGTGTGTATGTACTAGTATGTCCTTTTCAGCCAACATACTAACCGTTGTAGGAATTCTTTTGTGGGGTGTTATTTTTGCTACAAGAATAAAGCGGCAGAAAATTAAATAAGAGTCCGAGCTAAAGGTTTTCTGTGGTCACGTGACGTTGATAAGAAAATTTCACACACCGGCACTTGTGTGTCTGTAGTTGTGGCACAAAACCGCACTCGAATAAAGTTTCACACACACACTTGTTTCACACTCTTGCAAACACTTAAATTTCCTTGAAAATTTTTAACTTAATTATGATGATTTTTTGATTGGAAAGTGATTTTGAACTAGAAAGTACAAGAAACAGTGTTTTTTGGCCAAAAAAGTACTTTCTTGACTAAAAAGTACCGAAAGTACTTAAAGAAATTAATATATTCGTCTGTCTGTCTGTCTATCTGCATGTGTATCGGTCTGTCTTTCTGTCTGTCTATCTGTATGTGTATCGGTCTGTCTGTCTGTCTGTCTTTCTGTCTGTCTGTCTGTCTGTCTGTCTGTCTGTCTGTCTGTCTGTCTGTCTGTCTGTCTGTCTGTCTGTCTGTCTGTCTGTCTGTCTGTCTATCTGTCTGCCTAACTAACTAACTAACCAACTAACTAACTAACTAACTAACTAACTAACTAACTAACTAACTAACTAACTACTAACTAACTAACTACTACTACTAACTAACTACTAACTAACTAACTAACTAACTAACTAACTAACTAACTAACTAACTAACTACTAACTAACTAACTAACTAACTAACTACTAACTAACTAACTAACTAACTAACTAACTACTACTAACTAACTAACTAACTAACTACTAACTAACTAACTAACTAACTAACTAACTAACTAACTAACTAACTAACTAACTAACTAACTAACTAACTACTAACTAACTAAACTAACTACTAACTAACTAACTAACTAACTAACTAACTAACTAACTAACTAACTAACTAACTAACTAACTAACTAACTAACTAACTAACTAACTAAACTAACTAACTAACTAACTAACTAACTAACTAACTAACTAACTAACTAACTAACTCTAACTAACTAACTACTAACTAACTACTAACTACTACTACTACTAACTAACTAACTAACTAACTAACTAACTAACTACTAACTACTAACTAACTAACTAACTAACTAACTAACTAACTAACTAACTAACTAACTAACTAACTAACTAACTAACTAACTAACTAACTAACTAACTAACTAACTAACTAACTAACTAACTAACTAACTAACTACTAACTACTAACTAACTAACTAACTAACTAACTAACTAACTAACTAACTACTAACTAACTACTAACTAACTAACTAACTAACTAACTAACTAACTAACTAACTAACTAACTACCTAAACTAACTAACTAACTAACTAACTAACTAACTAACTAACTAACTAACTAACTACTAACTACTAACTAACTAACTAACTAACTAACTAACTAACTAACTAACTAACTAACTAACTAACTAACTAACTAACTAACTACTAACTAACTAACTAACTAACTAACTAACTAACTAACTAACTAACTAACTAACTAACT